TTTTAATAAATCCACATCATAGCTCCTTTCATGTCAAAATATTTTGGGGAAGATTGAGGTGAAAAAGCCACTTAAACATTAAGAGAAAAACTTAGAACAACCAAGAACAGCTTTAGAAGAAAAATTTAAAGATGACAGAGAACTGGGAAAGCCACTATGGGAAGGTGTCCACGGGCTGGGGGGTACTCTAATGATTCTGAAAAGGATAGAACCATGGCCAGGGCCCCAGCAAACTAAAGAGAGGAATAAAATCCAGAGTATCTGACCAACATTTTTAGCTGTGAATCAATGAAAGAGACATAATGAGTAGAATAAACCAAACCTGAACATGAGTTCTGTCTTTTGAATGTGTAACAGTAGGCAAAATTTTTCAATGTTTTTTGAAATTTTGTTATTCACAAAATGGGTCATGATATTTATCTCTCTGAATCCGAGAGAATAAAGAGGACAGTATCACAATTGCTAGCACAGAGCCTGGCATTGTGGATGGTAGAAACATGAATAACCTCCACCTACCTCTACTAGGCCTCCAGGCACAAAGCTGCTGGGAAGAGGAGGCCCAGTGGGAGACCCTTCATGGGTAAGACAGGCAGTCAATATGTCACTCCAAGTTTTCTTCCTAAGATATAGTTATTCTAAGTGTTTATGATCCTAATTATCATGGAACCAGTGACAAGATCAAGTTTCTTTTTTTAAAAAAAAACCCATTGTGAAGAAAACAATAAAGTCATCACCACATTGTGTTTATTAGTGTTTCCAATCACACTAATAAGCCACAGCTCACACTATATTTATAAAGTCATGTTAGCTAATAAATAATGAAGTGATTAGCATACCTAACATTAGTTTGAAAAAATTAAAAACAGTTGTTTTGGAATGTGCTACCTTTTACACCCTGGTTGCTTGATGTATATATTATTTTTACATGGAAATGACCAAGCTTGTTGACATAACGAGTTTTCTATGATATTAGATGAAGTTATGATTTTACTTGATTGTGCTTCAGAACACGGGGTAATTTATGAAACATCTGTTTTACGGTGTAGCAGTTTTAAATCAGAAAGGTCGAGTTCAGCAGACAAGTGTGCCACCCAGAGGTAAAAGGAAGAAACACACATAACATTTTATTTGTAAGATAAAACTGATGTTAAGTTAAATTATTTGGTATCATTTATTTTTTTAAAAAAACCACAGGAAACTCGCTGTATATCACCTTTATAATAAAAATAAAAAATTTTAAAAACAGGAAATTCTTTATGACGTTTCCTCTGTAAAAATAATCCTATTAATGCCAGGCTACCTATAAGTGTGGCTCTTTGAAAACTCACAAAATGGAAACAAGTCCTGACACAGCACCAGCCACAGGTGTAGTTCACAAATTTAAAAACAGAATTTAAGTGTATTTTTTGCAGCAAATGCTTTCTTTTCTTCTTATAATGAATGTAGCATGTGTTTCCAGAAGTACATATAAATCCTACAACAACCACTATGATCTATTTAGACATGTGGTCCAAAAGTTAAACTAATTAACCAGAAGACATTTCTTAAATGAGAAAAGTTTCTTTCATTAGAAGATCTACAGAATTTTCTTCTGGCAAAAGAATAAAGTTTGTTTAGGGTAATTCTGTTTGGCAGACAGTAAAGGGCTTTTAAACATATACCAACAATTGCTAAGGTTAAAGTGAAATAGTCAATTCTATTAAACCCACATAAAATTCAGGCTTCTAATAGCTTAACAATGGGAAGATTATAAAAGAGATTTATGGTATCGTCATATTGTCTTAGAAGTCTAAATATTGGGATTACTGTTAACATTGAGACATCTTTTAAGATTTATGCATTTTGCAACAAATTACAAAACATCCCTAAGCCTTTACTTAACTAAAAACATAACATACATTACACTATAAGAACTATTTTAAGCATAAAACTCTTCTGTATGCAATTTTTTGGAAATAATTCATTGTTTTGAGTTCTCATTTCATCTTTTACTGTTCCATTTTCATACCAACATGTATGTGACTTTCTAGATAACCCACTCTCAGAAAAACTATTTATGACTGACTTTAAATTTCTTCCCTTCACCCCTTTCCTCCCTCCTTACTTTTGTCCCTTCTGGTAGTATTGTCGTTTGAACTCAGGGCCTTGTGCTTGCTAGGGAAGTGCTCTGTCATTTGAGTCATGCTGTCAGCCTTTTTTCTTTATGTTTCTTTTATATAGGGTCTCATGTTTCCACTCATTCAGTGGCCAGCCTGGACTGCAATGGTCCTACCTGTGACCTGATGCATAATTGGGACTACAGGAATATGCCATCGCATCTAGTTTATTGGTTGAGATGGGGTCTCATTTTCATTATTTAAGAGCTGGTCTTGAATTGTGATCCTCCCATGTAGCTATAGTTATGAGCCACTGCACTTTGCTCAAATTTCTTCTTACTGTATCAGAAGAGTCTATAATTGCTTGTTATTTCCAAATAAAACATTTCCCTTAAAAGATCTTAACAAAAATGCCACTTTAAACAACAGTACTGCCAACTAACCTTTTCCTTCCTTGGTCCCTATGTGAGGGAGCTTATTACTATTGATGAAGCTAATTCTCATCCCGATTTGATCTTTAATCTTTCATACACACTACACTGCATTGGTCTGTAAAAAAATACTTGTAGTTGTACTGAAAGTTGTGAAATACTTAAAATGGAATGCAAATACTTCTACATGATGTTCCCATTTGTACATTTACTTTAGAAGTAAATGAAGCTATGGGCCCAGTCTATGGTGTACATTTCCCCTAACACTGCTAAATTCTGAGTGAACATGAGAGATCAAGACAGCAGGGCTATGAATCAGATAAAAGCTTAATTATTAAAGCTCAAAATATGTATCAGGACCATATTAAATTTTTCCCAAGCATCAGGAAGGTTCAAATACATTCCTAAGCAAAACCAATGAAAGAACTAAGCAGGAGAATTATTTATTTCTTGTTCATTTATTGGTGCTGAAGATTTATCCCAGGGCATCACAAATGCAAGGCAAGACTCTACCACTGAACTTCATCCTCAACCTCAAGAATGACCCTCTTCCCTTAGCTTCATGTTTGAAGAGGTCTGTGTTGAAGCACTATGCTAAGAGCCAAGATTTAGCTTGTGAACACAGTAAATAATAAGCCTCTCCCCTGATGTTTATATTTTATTAGGGGAAGATTTGGGATCCTTTCAACCAAACGAAGATGTTGAGTAACATTTCTTACTTTATTTTAAACTTACCTTAAAAACTTATTTAAAACCTTTAAAAGTTACCATTGAACTGACAAAACCTAGATAGGAGAGAGAATTACTGACACATGAAATTCTTAAATGTTTTGTGATTTAAAGTTTCAAGCTAAGCATGGTGGTATGACCCTGTAATTCCATCTACTAGGGATGAAGCAGAGGTAGGAGGTTTCAGTCTGAGGCTGGTTTTAGACAAAAATCATAAAACTCTATCTGGAAAATAAAGTAAAACAAAAAGACTGGGAATGCACCTCAAGTACTATAGTACTTGCTTAGCAAGTGCAGGGCCCTGTGTTCAAAACCCAGTACTGCAAAATTAAAATTAAAAAAAGGTCCGTATAAATGCATTGTATACTCAAGGAATGAAAGAAATACAGAAAGGACAGCTACCTTGTATGTAATAAATGGTTCAAAAAGTTCTTTGGAAAGTAAGAACAATTTAAAGGATAAATTCTGAAATGCTCCCTATAACTCTAGGTGGTCAAGAACACGAACTGATGAGAAAGAATGATGAAAGGGGTGATAATGATCAAGATATATTATACTTATAGGCCAACATGTTGAATGGTAGCCCCGCACTATATAACTACTGAAAGATAGTAAAAATAAAATATTAAAAAACGTAATAAGCTGTCAACCTCTGGTTTACACCTGTAATCATAGCTACTCAGGAAGCAGAAATCTAGATATTGAGATTTACAGCTAGTACAGGCAGGAAAATCCATGAGACTCTTACCTGCAATTAACCACCAAAAAAATACAAAAAACAAAAACGAGGAGAGGTGAGGCTCAAGTGATAATGTATTAGCCCTGAGCAAAAAAAGTTCAGGAACAGTGTCCAGGCCCTGAGTTCAAACCCCATGACTGGCACCAAAAAAAAAAAAAAAAAACAAAGAAAGATGTAATGACAAAATAAAATGCTAACAAAACTTCCTGAATCTTTCCTGTTCCCTTTTATTTATCTCCTGTGCTGTCATCTTAGTTCTTGCCATTTTCTAACCTATATTAGTTTAATTGCTTCCTAATCAATATCTGTCTGCGGCCCAAATTCTTACTCTATCCTATCATTACATTTTCAAATGCATCTTCCAAATGGAGTCTAGAGTATTTTCTGTGAAGTCCAAGTAATCATATCATTTACCTATTTGATATCCTACAATGAGTCAAGAGTTCATGTGTCCCTATGTGTAGCCTTCCCTGTTCTAAGAAAGGAAAGTGGTGGGCTGGCTACATACTGACCCCTAAACCCAGGATCTACAAGACTGGGGGTAACAGGGTGAGCCTCCTGGGCCTTTTTTTCTTACTTAACAAAAACTTCAATTAACATTAAAACAACTTAAGAGGTAAAGTCTTTTACAAAAGGAATCCAACTACTAAAGTAGTAGCTTCTAAACATTTTTAAATTGAGCAGCATTGCTTTCTTCAACAGAACTCAAATAAGTTGTTGAGATAGAATTGAAGTTGACAACATAGGCAGAGATTGGATCATTTGGCCATAGAAAAATGCAAATGGAGGTGGAAAAATGCAATATCAGTGGGGTGAAGAAGTAAGGATGTAATAGAAGTGATTTAAATTTTTGAAAGAGACTATCATGGTACTATGTGTAAAAGAGGAGACTTTTGAGATTCAGTTAAGTATTTCTAATATATTTCCACAAGCCCTGATAACAAATAATGTATAATGTACAATTGCTTATTGATGTGTAATCGTAATAAAGGAGTCACAGAATACCTGGTCCTCACTGGTTAATCCTAGGTGCATCACAAGGTAAAAATGGACCAGGAAATCCGAGTTTGGCAGAACATCCTGGCGTCTGGTCATCATGGCACAGATCAGCCTGTAGGCTTGCAGTTTTCCTTCCTTATACTCATTTGGCAGCGTTGTTGCCTGCCAAGGAGATGATGTTTCCAGATTAAATCAAGACCAGATGCAGAGCATTTCAACATTTCATTTACTTCTCAGTTTTCTAGAAGAGTTGTTTATGAAGATGTGGGATGCAGTAGCTTTAGGAAAACTCAGTCTGTCTTCAAAACATGCCATCTTGGGCAATTATATTTGTTAAACTCAATTTCAGAAAGGAAGAGGAAATTACAATAAAAGAATAAACACATATCCACTTGCCTTAAATAGCCATGATGCAAACATTCTGAGTGGTGGGGTCAAGAGTGGAGGAGATGGAGAAGACTGGTTATCCAGACTTATTGCTAGATTATCCCGAATCTAGTTCACAAAGAGGAGAATATTAGGGAAGGTAACACTGCAACACAGTCTTCCATAGCCAAGTAGTTGCTTCCAGTCAAATTTCCTAAGTGAAGTGAAAATCTACAATATTTACAAGTTTTCTTTGACTGTGAATTGTGTCTAGTTTATCATTTGTGGGTATCTATAAAACTAGAGCACTGCTTTTCTGTGAATGTGAATTTCTGAAGGAGTCCTGAAATCCAAATAATAAGGAATGATTTAATAAGCTATACTTCAGGGACTGGGAAGGTGGATCAGTGGTAGAGCGCTTGCTTTTTATGCTTGAGGCCCTGGGTTCGATTCCTCAGCACCACATAAGCAGAAAAAAAAGCCGGAAGAGGCGCTGTGGCTCAAGTGGTAGAGTGCTAGCCTTGAGCTGAAGAGCTGAGGGACAGTGCCCAAGCCCAGAGTTCAGGCCCTACGACCCATTCCCCCCCCCCAAAAAAAAGCTATACTTCATGTTTTGGGAAAAAACCTGTAATAACCAGGAAAAATGTATGTTTAGCACCTAACAAAGGCCAAAATAAAAATTTTATGTACTCTAAGATTCTACTTTTGTAATAGAACTATATATTAATATTGGTTAGTTTGTCAGATGGTGCTGTAAATTTTTTGTACTTTCTACATTTTTCAAACATTGTAGAATAAAACCAGTATCACTTAATAAGAAACCTAAAACTATTTCAATAATTAAAACTATTATAATATTCAAATAGAATATTACTTTTATTTTTGTATTGTATAGGATTATACAAATATACTTTTGCCCTAAATGACATAACTATTAATGCATTTATAAAGTATTAAAACTTTAAATATTATGTATTACTCTTTGATAATCCAATGTACTTGGTCTAATGCCTAATTTGTCTTCCGGAATATGTTCAATAGCTAACTGCAACTGTTTTTATGTCAAATGATGCATCAGTTTTCCCTATTAGAGGAAGAGATAACATAGCAGAACATACCTTTGCCAGTTTGTACCAGAGTTCATAGAGATAGCCAAAAACTTTAGCATGGATCTTAGGTGACTGGATATTATTCACATCTCCAAGTATGCCCAGGACTCTTCGCCAGAGCACAGCAGCAGAATCTGGGTGCCAACCAGTTAGGTTCCCTCCAGCAATTATACTGCAGTCATCTGTGAGGCATTCACTGCTATCTGTAAAAGTATGTGAGTTAGCAATTGGGATGCTATCAGAACAACTTTTTTACTTATACAAATTACCTATCTTTAAAATTTATGGGTTCTCCATAAAATAATTCAAATGAAAGAGAAAAAATGGCTTCTAATTTGAAAGGGTAGATCAGCAGAATCAATGAAGAAGGATCAAATGATTTTAATTCTTCAACGAGAGATGAAGAAACATTTCCTGGCAATTCCATGAAGGGTTTAATGAAGCAGGTAAGAGGACAAAGGAGACCTTGAGTGCCACAAGTACAACAGAAATAGGTGGCCAAGGAAGGTGTCAGTTACTGTTTTTCACGATTGCTAGGTTAGCCTTAGTTAGGGTAGAATCTTCATATAAGAAATGTCCTGGGGCTGGGAAGGTGGCTCAGTGGTAGAGCCTTGCATGCCTGGGGCCCTGGGTTTGATTCCTCAGCACCCCATAAGCAAAAAGAAAAAAGCCAGAAGTGGCACTGTGGCTCAAGTGGTAGAGTGTTAGCCTTGAGCTGAAGTGCTAAGGGACAGCGCCCAGGCCCAGAGTTCAGGCCCCACAACCAGACCCCTCCCCCAAAAAAAGAAATGTCCTTTTAGGTTTCAGAAATATATGCCATCATGTAACAATTGACACAAATGACCTCAAACCAAGATATGGAACAGTCCCTTCAATCCAAATTGTTCTCCTTATAGTCAGTTTCTTTCTCGTATTTGCAGCTTCTCACAGTTCATTTTTTGTTTTATACTCTAGTTTTGTTTCTTCTAGGATGTTATATAAATTGAGTCATAGTAAGCAGCCTTTCTGCCTGGTTTCTTTCACTTGGCATAATACACTCAAGATTCAAAGAGATTCTGCATTATCAGAATTTGGTTTGTTCCTCATTTCTGAAAAGTCCATTTTTTTAAATGTAGCATATTTTATTCATTCATCTGTTGAAGGACATTTACACTGGCTCCTATATTGGGAGCCGATGAATAAAGCTGACAGCTTTAACTTAGGCTAAACTGTAAGAAAAGAAGCTGTGCGATCATTTTCCAAAGTAGCATTCTGTTGGGTCTTCTTGGTCCCACGAAAGATGGAGGGAAAGGTAAGTGCGCGGTGCTTGCCTGTTCCCCAGCCTCCCTCAGCCCGGGAGACAATCAGACGCAGCAGGGAGCCAAATCCAGCAGGTAGAAAACTCGTTTATTAACAGAGAGCAGTCCTTTTTAAAGCCAAAAAGGGTGGGTGGCATGGCAAGGGAGGAACAGGAACCAATCACTGTCAAGGTCACACCCTATCATGCACCCGAGCCTTCACGGGCTGGTTAGGCGTTGATCGGAAGGCAAATTGGACTCTGCCCATTCAACTCCCTCTCAGCACTATCTTTGCTGCCCATGTGCTCTGCAGCATTCCATGAGCAAGGTACAAAAGTTAGCACCTGTAGGAGCAGAGCACTAGAATGCCACATTTTCCACATATCTGCCACAGCTTGGTACTATTAGTGTGAAACAATACAGTAATCAATAGCAGCAAATATTTTACCAGTTTTCTATTTTCTAACTCTTCATCCTTTTGGTTTCTTTGTAGCACTCACCCTGTGCTTCCTTATGTACTCTTCTCACAAGGCTGCCTCCACCTTTCTTCATGACAAAGAATATTCTCCTAGCCTCCAGCAGATGAGTTTTTCTTTTTGGAATCCAAACTCCAGCTCTATAGACTCAGTCTCCATACTCATGTAACATAACTTCAGCCACTATGCTCTACTCCTTTCAATTAAAAGGCTTATTGAAAAGCTTATGCAGATGGTGATGTAACTTTTTTTGTCCTTTCTACATTTTTCAACCGTTGATTATTTTTGACTATCTAGAGCCTCTGTATTGCTTAACACAGTACTCACTTATCAGTCTTCAACAACATTTAACTCATACAATCATATCATCTTTCTAAAAAATCTTCATCTGACTGCCCCCACCCTTCCCCATGGAATGATGCCCACCTGGTTTTCTTCTGGCTGATTTGTCTTCATCTTACAAACCTGTGAATATTCCCTTCCTTCTACTCTCTCCTTTTTTTTACCCCCTCCTCCTACTCTTCTCCTATTCCTATAGACTACTGCCACACAGATTTAAATGCCATCCATATAGTCACATCCCTAGGTGCCCATTTGTGGTACTAGGAATCAAATCCAAGGCCTTACAAACGCTAAGCAAGAGCTCTCTTCCGCTGAGGGACACTCCTTTCCCAGTCAGTCTTCTAAAAACAGTCTTGACAGTTTTAAATATTTAGGGGTGAATGAAAAGGTGATGCCTAACAGGCATCATCTCTGGTGAGTTTCACCATGTTTTAAAGAACCTCAGATAAATGAGATGGCATTTTGAATTTTTGTTGGAGATAGGTTCTCATTCTGTACCCCAGATTGGTTGTCAATTCTCAATCCTCCTGCCTAGGCCTCCTGGGTTCTCAGATTACAGGTATGTGTCACCACACATGGTTTACAGTGGCTTTAATTCTGAAACTAAGCCTCCAGGGAAAAGATTCTCCCCAAAGACTCTCCTATTCAGTGAATAAGTAAACTCTCCTTTAATCCCCTTGTTTCCAAGAAAGCATCTCTGCACTGAGCTCTTAGTGGGATGAAAGAAGCAACTGTAGGAGATGAAAGTATAAATATTTTATTGGAATTTTGTTTTTGTTTTGCTTTACTGAGGTTTGACTTGCACTTGCTAGTGGGCTCTCTTAATGCTGAGCCATACCTCCAGCCTTATTTTTGCTGGTTAAAGATAAGTTCTCCCTACCTGCTTTGGGGTGGGCTTAGTGAGCTACCACTTCCTAGTCTTTTTTTTCCCTCCTTGGTAGTATGTGGGTTTGAACTCAGTGCTGCACAGTTACTAAGCACAATGTTTATTGTCTCACTTACTTTACAGATAGGCTCTCATGTTTATGCCAAGCTAACCTGATCATGATCTTTCAATTGAAGCTTCAAATGTAGCTAGAATGACAAATGCATAAACCAGTTTTCCTTAGTGGAGATGGGGTTTCCCTAACTCTTTTGTCCCAACTTGCCTTTACCCATGATCATCCCCATCTCCACCACCAGAGTGGCTAGATTCTAAAGGTAGAGTTACAGGTGTAAGCCACCATGCCCAGCCAATCCTAAGTATGTTGTAATTCATAATTTGATTTCTCTCTGAACTTGGTAATCCATTTGAAGTCCAGTTTTTAGTTTCTTATTTTTCTTTTATTATATAGTTATTCTTATTTATTTTATTATAACACAATACTGTTATAGTTACAAATCAGGCATTTGTTAAGACAAATGATCAAATATTTGTTAACATTCTGTGTGTTTTAAAAATAATATTTACTGCCAGGTGCCAGTGGCTCACATCAGTAATCCTAGCTACCCAGGAGGCTGAGAGCTGAGAACCAAGATTCAAAGCCAACTGGGGCAGGAAAGTTCATGAGACTCTTATCTCCAAGTATCTCCAAACAGAAGTAGAGCTGTGGCTCAAACAGTAGAATGCTAGCCTTGAACAAAAACACTCAGAGACAGCATGTAGTCCCTGAGTTCAAGACATAGGATAGGCCACAAAAAATGTTTGTTAAATTTAAATTCAAATATATGTATGTATATTCATTCAACTGAGATTGTCTGTATTGTAAAAATAGTTCCTTTATTAGCATTTATTTCTATTTCATCAACTAATAACAGTTAATATTAAACTTTTCTTCTAAGGCTATGGTTTCATCAGATTTTTTTTGTAATTCTGTCATTTTTTTTTTGTTCCATGTAGGTGGAAGCTATGAAGTTCATATAAATTCAAAATTACCACTCTACTAATAATTTCTGCTTCAAATTTTGTGGCTGAAATAAATTGAGTGAGACCAGTGCTCTGTTTTCCTTCCTTTAAACAACAACAACAACAACAAAACCTGTGTCTACTGTACTGGGTGATTTGCTTTGATTTTTATTCTTCTCATACTTTGGGCTTTCCATTTAAGCCACCTTGCTTTGATTATCTTTTGGGTCGGTGGTGGGAATACTGAGTTGTGTCCCACTTCTATCATTGCCCTTTTCTATGCTGTCATACATTATTCATTTGTTATTAATGTAACCATTGCCCAATAAATCTACTTTACATCATAAGAATAAAGATAGACTTATTTCTAGGCAATTATTAATCCTCATTGAGTGTGATCTTGATTATAGATGTTGCTGTGTTTTTAATGCCTCATCAGTGACACTAAAGCACAATTTCTGATATGAGGAACCCAAGCAGAGGGATCAAGGGCAACAAAGGATGGAGGGATGAATGTGAAAGGAAGCAAGAGAAGGTCCAGGATGGCTGCAAACAGTTCTCTTATTAGTGATGAAAAGACCTCAAGACAGTGAAACAAATAGTGTCATGGGTAGGCCTGCTCCTTGTTGGAAAATATGTCTGTAGCTCCTACAATAACATCACATATCCAATCAAGGAGACACAACAATATTCAGATATCCAAACTAGAATTCTTATTTGCCATGCCTGAAGGTACAGAGAACAAAGGCTTAGTCATGGACCTTTGCCATTCTCTGACGACTTTCATAAAGCTTCCTCCTCTGTTTAACTACTGTAAACTTAGTGCAGTATCAAGCATCTGTTAGCCTGAAAAGGCATGTCGAAGTACTGTTTATGAATCAACATGATTCTCCAAGTGAACAAACAGAGTAGGTCACTTCTCACGAAAAATGTCATATTCTAATACCATCAGAGAGCAGAAGAATCATGGTTTGAGGCCAATCTTGGCAGAAAGTTAGCCAGATCCATCTCAATAAACTGAGTAGGCCTGGTAGTTTAACACCTATTATCCCAACTTTTCAGGAGGCAGAGAATCAAAATTCCAGGCCAACTCAAGCAAAAAGTGTGACCCCTTATCTAAAACAATTTAAGGAAAAAAGGGCTTCAAGTGTGCTTCCAGTGGCAGAGTACCTGCAAGGCAAATGCAAGATCCTGAGTTCAAACCCTAGTACCACCACCACCAT